TCTTCATCACCTCTTTTGTAAAAGCTTGAATTACAAGTAGGTACACAACAGACAGTAACCGACAATGTAGACTTGCAGGAACACGAAGAGCGCTTACCTATGCTGCACTATGGCTCGTCAGCTATACCCCCACTACCGATATGCCTTCCCCAGGAGTCATACCAACTACTGCAAGGCGAATTTGCCGCTGGCGATCGTGCTAAGTGTCTAAAGAAATTCATTCCGGGAACTTTTTGACTGTTATATTTATATTTACCGTCTTGCAAGTTAGTATGTATGTGTCAAGTGTTATTATACATATTTTTTAATTTACTTTCAGTAAATAACTAGTATATGTGTAAGGAAAGAAAACGAAGCATTATCAAGTGTTTAGAAATCCTGGCCTATAGCTTGAGGGATCTACCAATTTATTCCTACACAAGAACTCAGTTTTTAAAGTAGCCTTTTCAATTCAAATTTTTATAACTAAAAAGATTCACTGTGCTCCATTTTTTCTTACTTTACAGCACTGGTGTGATAAAGTAAAGGAACAATCGGGGTTCAAGGATTGAGAGGTAAGAAGTCAAACTAATTGTAATGCCTCAAATTCCAGCTGTTCATCTTGTCATTACCAATTCAATTGTTGACCTGCTGACTTCCGCTGGAAACTCACACATTTATTCCTTAACCTAAAAATTGGAACTACTGTAAATGATTTGCTAACCAACAGTAGCAGGTTTTATTGAAATAGTCAGACAATTCTAGTGAAATATACAAGTGATGTGCTCAAACGCTTAGTAATATTCTTTTACCACCTAAATCAAAGAAACGTTACTGAAGAAATAGTATGTGAGCAAAACTTTTTATTGATTACCATTCACTGATAATAAAAATAACTCAAGATTAAATTTTATTTGTTTTGATTTCAATGCTGTAAGTCAACTGTTTCAATACATTCAGTATTGCTCAAAATATGCAACATTTTGTCTACTTGCACCTGAAACCGTACTTATGGTAAGAATGCTGCTATATTGCTGTATAGCAGTACCTATTCCCCGAAAAAAGGAACAGAGAGAGTATTGGTAAAGACAAGTTTTTAAGGCTCCTGCCTTAATTTTTTACTTGTGTCGTCAACACTATCTTTGTGTGATCCGTTGCATATAAACTTTCAGCAAATTTACATCATTTTTAAAATTATAGCTTCTATTTAGCGTTTCATCTTAAATTAGAATATTAAACTATCATAGCATTAATAAGAGTTGTACAGAACTGTTTGTTCATCTTGGTTCACTAATATTTTATGTTTGACATGTTTTATGTTGATAGTTTTATATTTACGGAAAGTAAATAAAGATAGGTCTTATAACACTTAAAACATATATTTACGCTTATACTGTTACTCACAAGACGGTAAATATACAAAAGATGGTAAGTGGTGATCGATTTCGATTGGACACTCCAATCATCATCAGGCCCAATAGGCGAATGGATTCGCATTGGAATGGATTACAAGATTCGCCTATTGGGTCTGATGATGATTGATTTAATAACACGTACAATGCTGATCAAGAAGTTATTTAGTTTTATATTTGTTTCATAATTAGATGTACAGTACAACCTATTATTTCATACAGTAGGTAGAACATTTAATTCTACCACAAACTTAGGAAACTCAGGGGAGTTTCTCCTCCCTTTACCAGCAAAATCTGTGACACTAATTGCTTAGCTGGCAATATTGTCTAAAGAGTCCTTGGAGCCTAGACGTTAGATAAAACAATTAAAAAAACTGAAAAGAACATTCTTATCCCACAGTGCACTAGATATTTAAATTACAATCACTCTTGTGTTTAAAAAAACATGTTGAGATAGTGAATACCTCTTTAGTGGCTGTTTGAAATTAACAAAATTAACATTGCTCTTATGGCAGGCAAATCCAAGATTTCTGTCAGCTTTAATGGACTCCCTTGGAAGAAAATTCAAAACTACAAAGAAAATTTATAATCTTACAGTGTCCTAGATATAAACTATGATCACTTTGGTGTTTATTTTTTAATGATTAATAACTCTTCAGCAGCTGTTTGAAAGTATCCACGATGGTCGCTAACATCCAAGGGCTCTTAAAATGTCATAGTAAGAGTAATAATAATATTGTTTGAAGTGTGTCATTAAAATTACAGTTAAGTCGATATGAACTTCATTGGTTATAATTTGTCATTTAAAAAAGCCTAAGTTAATGTAGAGATAGCAAATTTTCCAGGACAGTTTGGCCAAAATTTATGTGAGTGTGGTCAGATCTGGTCAAGTCTTGGCGAGGGGATACTTTAGTGAAAACATTTGTGTCTTGCTACCTTTATTACCTTGTTACCTTTACTCACTCACTCCTACCTCTAGCAGTGCCAATAACCTGTATGTTTTAGTGTGGCTAGTAGCGACCCGCACAGAAGTTTTGGCCAATCTGTAGCACTATTCAACTTTTTAAAATGACCCAATTTTTCAACATCTTATGAAAAGTTCAAGTTTTACAATTAGTGGTCTCATAAACTTATAACAATTTAATTGTTTTACTAATCTTGTTTACTAAAAAGGCCAAAGCAGCCTTTTTATAGGTTCAATTTATTTTTTATTTTTAGTGATATAATAAAATAGTATCTAAAACTAGTTTAATTATGGCTGTACAACTCAATTCAAAATATCATGATTGACTGTTATTTTTATTATCTCTACATGATCAACATGACCTGCTTATACTAATAATACTTTTTATCCTAAAAACCTGTTCAGTAAAACCCCACTAACTCAACACCCGGTAATTCGAGAGTCAACAGCGAACAGGATGTACAGAGGCTTTTTTCAGAACATTTAGTATATTCAAAATTTCTTTGAAGATCATTTACTCACTCAATATGTGAAAATATAAACATAAGTATGAAATAAACAAAATTGCCAAATTTGATTAAAATACATCCATAAACCAGCAAACTACAAAAGTTTTTTTATTCTCCATAAGAAAAATGTGGGAATTTTGAATTAAATTTTTTTTCTTTTTTAAGCCCTACAAAATGGTTTGGAAATTGTGAAATTTTGATTTTCAATGTCAAAAATGGGAAATCCAATTTTTACCCCATAAAACCCCCATTCCCATAGTCCAATCATGCTGGTTTGCTAACTCATTCAAATAAACTAAGTTTACATGTTAGTACCAAATTTATTTAAAATCGGATCATTTTTACTTGAGTTATCTCGCTAATGGTCACATGTATATAAATATACAGGGTGAATAAAAAGTCAAGACCCCCCCCCTCTAATATTTTTCCAAGTAAATATACAGAGATATCCTTTTGGTGGTCGAGTAATCTTAGCAGGAAGTTTCATTTTATCATTTTGAAATTTTTGAATGTCCCCCCAAAAGGGGGGATTTGGGGGGCAACTCAAATATTTTAAATGTAAAACCCCTTCAAGTGACACATCATTTCAAAGTGTTAACAAAAACTTAAAGAATGGTGAAAACTAGAGGTCGCTATCTCTTCTCTATCCAAAATGGTAGCCCGTCAAATGATATGGAAAATCAAAGGTAAAATTGTTAATATTGGCCCATTGTGTCTTATGGCCCATAGGAAAATAGATATGGAACAAAAATTGAAAGAACTCGAAAATGAAGGAAAGAAGGTTGGTCTGAAAATTAACTTAGGGAAAACAAAAGAAATGAGAATAAATGAAAGAGACAACCACCAACTAGAGCTAAATGGTAAGGTCATAGAAAGAGTCGAAGAATTTCTGTATCTAGGAAGCATCGTATCAAAGTTAGGCGGGACAGACGAAGATGTGGCACAGAGGATCAGGAAGGCCAAGGGAGCTTTTGTTCAGCTGGCTACAATTTGGCGATCTAACCAATTGAGAAGAAGCACCAAACTCAGGATATTTGGAACAAATGTAACATCTGTACTTCTCTATGGTTGCCAAACTTGGAAAGTTACTAAAACGGTGTCATCTAAACTCCAAGTATTTATAAACCGGTGCCTTAGAAGAATTTTTAATGTCCGATGGCCAGATATGATTACCAACGAAGAGCTATGGAGGAGGGCACAAATACCACCCATTGCGGAAACAATAAAAAGACGGAAATATGGGTGGATTGGACACACTCTAAGGAAAGAGCAAAGCAACATAAGCCGTCAAGCTCTTGAGTGGAACCCGCAAGGAAGCAGGAGGAGGGGCAGACCGAGGATGACTTGGAGGAGATCAGTTGAGAAGGAACTGCAGGAAGAAGGCAAGAGCTGGGGAGAGGCAAAGCAGATGGCCCAGAATCGTGTCCGGTGGAGAGCATTTGTTGCGGCCCTACGTCCCCCTCGGGATTAAAGGAAATAAGTCAAGTAAGTCAAACACTTCAAAATGAGGTGTCACTTGATAGGGGTTTCTACTGAAAAATCTTTAGTTGTCCCCCGAATCCCCCCTTTTGGGGGACACTCGAAAATTTTAAATGTAAACCCCCTTCAAGTGACACCTCATTTTGAAGTGTTTACAAAAACTTAAAGAATAGTGAAAACCAGAGCTCGCTATCTCTTCTCTATCCAAAATGGCAGCCAATATTAACAATTTTACCGTTGATTTTCCATATCATTTGAAGGGCTACCATTTTGGATAGAGAAGAGATAGCGAGCTCTGGTTTTCACCATTCTTTAAGTTTTTTTAGACCCCCCCCCTCTAATATTTTTCCAAGTAAATATACAGAGATATCCTTTTGGTGGTCGAGCAATCTTAGCAGGAAGTTTCATTTTATAGTTTTGAAATTTTTGAGTGTCCCCCCAAATCCCCCCTTTTGGGGGGACACTCAAAAATTTCAAAACTATAAAATGAAACTTCCTGCTAAGATTGCTCGACCACCAAAAGGATATCTCTGTATATTTACTTGGAAAAATATTAGAGGGGGGGGTCTTGACTTTTTATTCACCCTGTATACGAATTTGAACGGAGGGTGTTTTTGGCCTCTGGGGATCTCAAAACGAAAAAGTAAATCGGTCCTGCGTCTAGGTCTTACCATGAGACCTACGGTAATAGCTTATTCCCTATATGTGAAATTTGCTAAAATAAAAAAAAAATAAAAAAAAACACATGGAGATACCATTGACTAGTACCTACATAGCAAATTTCATCAAAATCGGACTACGGGTGTGGTCTGTAGCTCTGTACACATCCACACATACAGACACACACACTTCGAAAACCACTTTTTTGGGTTCAGGGGGGCCCAAAATGGATATATCCACTCAAAACTCAAAAATTTTGACGAAACAAATACTTTCTCCAAAGTAAAAAGTAGTCTGTTATGTATTCGATTTAAAACCTATTAAAAATTTTATTGTTCTGTATAACTTGACAACCTCTGGGTTCACAAATTGCTGAGTTGTTGTTTCACAATAATTTTCACATAGGCCTACACTGTAGACCGAGTGGTTTTAGACCTTGCCTAACAATCAAAAGGTCGCCGGTACAATCCTGAGTAAAGTCAGTAGCTTTTTGATGGTTTGAAACTGGACCCGGCTGTCCCTGATCATTGGGCTTTAAATTAATGAACTAAGTTGTTCTGCTGTGCTTCACAACAGGACAAGAATACTTGGTGGAGAATAATGTGGGTCTAACAATCTAATGTAAAAAAAGTTACATACGCTTACAAAATCTCAATCATACTTATTGCTTGTGTTAATGAAAATCTCCTGTTTAGACTATTATATAAAAAAATTATCTGATTTTGATGAAATTTGGTATAAATGTGTAAACCTACAATAAACAAATTAGAAAAACCAGCATGATCAGACTATGGGAACAGGGGTTTATGGGGTAAAAATGGGCCATAGTTACATATATAGGAATTAGTAATGCATTATTTGTACTTGTTTTGCCACAAAAAATAGTTGGCTCATTAGAGAGTAATTTTTAGAGTATTGAAAATAGCCTGCTCTCTATTATGCTGTCACTAGAATCGTCAATTTTAGAAGGGTGAGCACAAGGATACATTATCATCACCATCCTGTTTTTCAATTTCGGAAACTTATCACATGACGTCGTGTGGGTCACTGACCAAACAGTTCCGCGCTCAAGTGAATTATTGTATTGCTATGTGCAACTGGAAGATCAATTCGGACGTTTTCAGTTGGATTTTTAAGTTACTATCTGAATGTGTACACACAGATTTTCAGTATTACATTTTGATATTCATAATAATTATATTTTAAATAAGACTAGTACAAAATGACATTTTTCTTGACTTTTGCAATATTTGCAGTTGATGCACGACCAGAAGATCGTAACATACAATACCATAATTTAAATTTAAATTCCTTAGTCTTGTAGATGATATTTTCAACTAGGTACTGTATTACATATTAAAAATAAAAAAAATAAAAATCTTAATTTTTTTTTATAAAATATCAGTTTTTTTTCAAACTTTAGAGCACATGCACAACCGGAACATAACAACCGATCTTTTTTTTATTTTTTCCTGTTTTGGTCTTATAATTTAGCAACTTTTCAAGGTATTAAAACTCTAAAAAATATTGATTTTTTAAGCGACAAAACTTACAAACAAACCCACTGGTTCAATCGAAATTATTCTGAGAACCATCATCAGATTAATCATTTTAATAACTAGTTAGGTACATTTGCACTTGCCATGTTGTATCTGTTTTTACAAAAATATATAAGAATGTGCTGTTTAAATGACTTTGGGTGTTCAATGAGTACATGAGTCTAATGACATTAGACAATTATAATTTAAATTATACATTCCAAATTATTGGCTGTTTAAAGCTGCCAGAGGAAGTTCTGATTTTATCTTCCACTCCCTACTACCCACATACTATGGAAGAGAACAAACTAAGTTTGTTGGTTAACCATTTGAACGCTATCCTATGATATATTATGGGACCCAAGACTAACATAACCAAACTTGTACTTTCATCAGTGCAAGCTAGTCCGTAACTACTAAGCTTGGGATTTCGGTAGACCATTATGGTTGGCCTATACAACACTAAAAAGGGTCAGATCACAGGCTGAGCAATCTAAGGGTTCTCTCTGACAACACAGTATATTGTGGCAGAGCTTGGTGGGAAGAGACACCCACCTAAAATAAACAGCGGATTGGATAGAAGATAGAAGTTTACAGGATGGGTGAATTTTTTGCGAGTTGCCTCAAATCTTACATTTTACTACCCTTGTTTTGTGTGTGTGAGTCTACCATTCTCTTGTTTTGAAATAATTTGGATTTTATAGTTGATTATATGAGGTGAAACATTATTAAAATAGGTATAGTCAAATCATTAAATAATCAATAGAGTTCAAAGGGTTAAAACAGGAATTGTGACTTTAGAGCAATCAGTCCCGTACTTATTTTGTTACGATATGGATTTTTAACAATTCTTTTTCATGATGCAACAATACTTTAATGTACACTCTATTTTAACTACTTTTTTATTGCTTAGAATGACAAGTACTAAGCTATGGCTAATACTGTTTACTAGGCACGGGGTGCAGACAAGGCATGATTTGCTCTGAGCTCTGAGCTCCACCCATGTGATGGTGGTGAGTTATCATTGACCGACTGCTAGAGCCTTGTTGTAACCCACTCTGACTCACTCGGTTGTGCATCCTTATTAATGGCACTGGATTGTTACTGTGTCGGCTGATCAGATGACTATCCGCATGAGCCTGCTGCATCTGCATACTCCTCTCTGCTGAAGATTCTGAAGGATGTCTGTTTAACAGTTCTCGCTGATGGTCAGGTTGTAAGGTACTATCAGTCGAGTCAGAAGTATGCCTATTTATAAGATCTTGATGCATCTGTGAATTCCTGTCGCTCGAAGATTCTGAACTGTGTCGGTTCAACAAGTCTCTTTGGAGATCGGAATGGTTGGTCTGCATCATCATAATGTTTCCCTTCTCGTTTTGTGAAGTGCCATCGGATGGCTTTGACGAGTGCATATTTAACATATCGACCCTCTGATGATCAGAGTGATTCTGCATTATAATGTCTGAGCTCTGTGTGGTTCTCTCTCCCTGATGATTCTGCTCTATCTGTTGTCCAGAGTTACTAGATGTATCCATCTGCTCCACACTATCTGACCTGCGCTGGAGGCTTTTTTGATTGTTTTTTGTACTTCTTGATGGTAAATCCATATGTTGTCTCTCATGAAGCATGAGGTGATTTTTCTGCGCAAAACTCTTACCACACTTTTCACATGCAAAGGGTTTTTCTTTGCAACTTCCGTTGGCGTGTCGTTGTCTGTGTTGGAACAGACCATGTCTTTGAGTAAATCCACGGCCACAGTCGCTACAAATATGTGTCTTCTTAAGACTGGTTACAACATTGACTGCAGTTTGTTTCAAAGACGCAGCTAAACTACAAATGTCAGCTAGGAAACTGTGATCCCCAAAGTGTAAACGTAAGTGTAGAGCAAGTCCTTCAACACTTGCAAAAGTTTCCCCACACTCCCTGAAAAAAATAAAACTCCCTCATCATAAATTCATTCAACTCAAGAGTTCAAGATGAAACATAAAATTAAACATAGTAACGAAGCCATTTACTGAATGCCTGAATTTATTTCATAATGGTACAGTAGAGTATCGGTTATCCGACCTTCATGGGCAATCATCTGTTATGGGGTCACCTCAAACATCTCCCACGATCACGACAACATGTTCCACGCTCGAGATGTGATTGTATACGCCCCGCAGTCGAAGCGCCACCTTGAACATCTCTCTGATCACAGCACCATTGTCAACATATCCCATGCTCACGGTGCGATTGTCAACACATCCTGCGGTCACAGCGTGAGTGTTAATAGATCTCACGATCACGTCACCATCCTCAACATGTCCCACATTCGCCACACGATTGTCAAGATATTCCGCGAGAACGGCGCTTCTTCAAAATGTCTTGTGGCCATGGCACCATCTTGAACATCTCCCGCGATCATAACACAATAAAATTTTCAGCATATCCAACGCTCACAATCTATTCACTTATCCTATCCGACCTTGCCACGGATTTAGGTCAGATAATCGAGACTCTACTGTTAATACAAGGTTTTTCGCTACCTTTCCACATATGGTGTTTGTTCAACATTGAGTTTTGTTGTTATTATTATTTTAACAAAAAGTAAAAAGAGTAGTTTTACACTCTCTATGACTAACACTTTGAATTTTCCAAATTGCAATGATATTGCATGTGTTTCTTCCAAACCCCCTCCCGAAAATCAATTGAATCCTGCTTAAAGCTCAAACTTAAGTGGATGTTATGTTTGGAGTAGGTACTAATTTCAAAAAATATAATGTCTACGTTGGCTTTAAACTTGTATAGATGTTTACTGACTAAGCTATTATTATGAGTAAAACGTTAATTTTACCTATAAGGTTGTAATTAATTTCACAGGTTAACTAAATATTAACACTTACTTGCAAACTTTGTCTTTTGGGGCTTGCATTGAAGGTACAGTAGAAGGTGAGGGTGTGTTATCATTGTTAAACCTGATCTGGCCCTCAGGGAACCTGAACTGGCTACTGCTGTTTTCAGAGTATCTCGGAGAAGAATTACTATTGTTTGGAAACCGCTGGTTAATTCCATCGTTAAATCTTGTTGGAGAGCTATCAGTAAATCTAGGAGGGGAACCACTCTCATTGAATCTGAAAAATATTATTATTGCTTTTAATATCTGATTTGTTTAGTAACAGATCAAAGGAGAAATGAGTGTTAATCTAAAACACAGGCAATGTTCTCATTGTTCACCTGGTGGGTGAGAAGGACTGCTGATTGACAGGTCCACTGCCATTGCAGGAGCGCATATGCACCAGCAGAGTGCGTTTCTGCAGAAACTCTTTGCCACACTGGGGGCAGGACTCAGGGTTGCGGCCGTGCTGTCGCTCGTGATTCACCAGCTCAAACTTGCGCAAGAACCCGGCCCCGCAGTCAGGACAGTTGTAGGGGCTGAGACCTCCGTGGAACCTCGAGTGCATCACCAAGTGTTCCTCTCTTGAGAATGACTCTCCACAAACCTGGAAGGACAAAGTGATACAGGTACAATACAAAAAACAGTTGTTGGCCCTGCCCAAATAAAACATACAGTACCTGGGCACCGAGCTTTGCTCGGGAAACTATACATTAAAGAATAAATAATAATAAATTTAAGCTTTAATTTAAAATAACTTATGTAACACGCTTTCATAGAACAAATTGTCCTAATAACAACACTGTTACGGTGTATATGGCATAATTAATGAAAATATTGATTGACATCAAATCAAGAGTTAAGTATTTATTTTATCTATACAAAGACACTTTAGGATTGGATAGTGAGTAGTTTTAACCTTGAAGAATCTTTTGCAGCCCTTGATTGGGGTTTCCATTGACAAATATTTCATGTTATTTAGTTTTTGTTTTGGCTTGGTTTAGTTGTATTACTTAGGCCTATTTACACAAAAATGTAGGTAGCCTAGCCTAGTTTAGGAGAAAAACCCTTTACACTTAAAGTCATCGCACTCTTGTGTATGCCTACAGATAGTCCAGGAGCTGAGGGGGTTTGAGCATGCATGAAAGTAGTACGCAATGTTATTGCTGATTATTGTAATATGGACTGTGGTGATCAAAATTACGTATGTCGCCTATTTCAAAAGTGGTCGATAAGGTGGGGGGGAGGGGGCAAACATGGCGGTTTGCGCTATGCGTTAAAACGCTGATAGTTCGAAAACGGTAAAAGATAGAACATCGGTTAAAACGTCGTTGGAATTCTAAATATGTGGACAACAATAATGGTTATTGGGTCCGAGGTCGTATCTCTATAAATAAACAAGTTATTGTATAAAATATGTAAAAATGGTCTTTTCGTGTAGTTTTTTTAACCGAAAGTAGAATTAATTTGTGAGTGTCGCAAAGAAGTAATATCAAATATCTTTGCTGATAGTTGTAATATGGGCTGTGGTGATAAAAAATACGCATGTCGCCTACTTTTCAGGTGGTCGAGAACTTGGGGGGAGGGGGGCAAAGATGGCGGAACGCGCTATGCATCGAGACGACTGTAGCTCGAGAACGGTACGAGATAGGACATCGGTTAAAACGTAGTTTTAATCCAAAACATATTACCAATAGAAAAGGTCATTGGGTAAAAAGTTGTATCTTAACTAATAAAAAAGTTATAACAATAATAAGTTTAACAAAATCTACATCGTACAGCTATTTTTTTCGAAAATCGTATGGATTGTCGATAAATAATAGTGTAATTCCTTAATTACTCGGCTATATATATTAACTAGATGCATTTTCTTATAAGAAAAAAAATATATTATTACGAATACATTTGGTTTAAAATGTAAAACACGGCCTCCAAACGCCTTGGGGTTCGTCCGATAGGTTGCGTCATAATTGCTGCGCAGTGCTGCTGATATCGGCACAACTGTTAATAAGAACTGAATAACTGGCATAACTGAATAAGAATCTGTTACATAATCATATTATAATAACCTACAACTTTATAATAATTAAAATTGGATTTGTAGTGGTAATCTGTATTATGCATTTGATTGCGGCGAAACCCCAAAGTATTATACGTAGTTTGGAGGCCGTGTTTTACATTTTAAACCAAATGTATTCGTAATAATATATTTTTTTCTTATAAGAAAATGCATCTAGTTAATATATAGCCGAGTAATTAAGGAATTACACTATTATTTATCAACAATCCATACGATTTTCGAAAAAATAGCTGTACGATGTAGATTTTGTTAAACTTATTATTGTTATAACTTTTTTATTAGTTAAGATACAACTTTTTACCCAATGACCTTTTCTATTGGTAATATTTTTTGGATTAAAACTACGTTTTAACCGATGTCCTATCTCGTACCGTTCTCGAGCTACAGTCGTCTCGATGCATAGCGCGTTCCGCCATCTTTTCCCCCCTCCCCCAAGTTCTCGACCACCTGAAAAGTAGGCGACATGCGTATTTTTTATCACCATAGTCCATATTACAACTATCAGCAAAGATATTTGATATTACTTCTTTGCGACACTCACAAATTAATTCTACTTTCGGTTAAAAAACTACACGAAAAGTCCATTTTTACATATTTTATACAATAACTTGTTTATTTATAGAGATACGACCTCGGACCCAATAACCATTATTGTTGTCCACATATTTAGAATTCCAACGACGTTTTAACCGATGTTCTATCTTTTACCGTTTTCGAACTATCAGCGTTTTAACGCATAGCGCAAACCGCCATGTTTGCCCCCTCCCCCCCACCTTATCGACCACTTTTGAAATAGGCGACATACGTAATTTTGATCACCACAGTCCATATTACAATAATCAGCAATAACATTGCGTACTACTTTCATGCATGCTCAAACCCCCTCAGCTCCTGGACTAAGATAATATAGGCTATAATGCTTAAGGATAGATAGCTTCCAGAGCAAATTCAATTGTTGACGTTTGTCGTTTTGTAACATTTGTCGACACACGACACGCTGCAACACAAACATTTTAAAACTTTTTAGGCAGTTTAGGAGACCAATCCCTACACACTTTTCAAAATCATCACAGTCTTGGGTACAGAAACATAGGCTATAATGCTTAAAATACAATAGATAGCCTCCACTCTCCAGAGAAATTTCGAGCTGGTGACATTTGTCGGTTTGCATCATTTTATGACATGCGACGCATGCTTTAACTTGGGATATGTTATATCATATCAATTTGCCAAACTTAGCTCAGTTTGAAAACGTATAACCTATTTAAGTAAAGTTTTGTAGCTAAGCCACATAGGTTAGGTCTAGCTCGACTAAGGGGTAAACGTTTCCCGGGTTGATCCATGTTGGTGAGTACCAAAAAGGAATCTTAGGTATAAACATGGTTGTATATCCAAGTTTGGCTGTCCTCGATAAAGGCCTAATTGCACTATTTTATTGACACTGACAAATAATAGGCTAGGCCTATAAGTTAATTGGGAGTTTATTTAATATCCAGTCCTAAACTTATAGCCATCTTAAGGCATACATAACTTACACCACAGAGAAGTAATATAAACACTCATCCTCTGTAGGCTTAAAGCTACCTATATTTTATTTGGGTTAGGATTAGTACTTTTTTTAGAGTTTCATTATGTACTGAACACACCTAGATATAGGGTATTAGTGATTCATGAAATGATCCATTTATAAAAAGCAACCTTACCGAGTTACCTAATGATGTACCCAGTGCCAGTACTTAAAACAAAAATTAGGGCTTAAGGCCTATGGATATTGGTTTTAAAACATAGCAGAATATGGCATTTCTAATCTAGTAGCCATTGATTAGTGTGAATAAACAAAACATGGATGAACAACCAAGTCAAGCTAAGTTACTAACCCAGTTGTTCAGGCAAGGATAACCTGAAAGGATCCATCTCAACAAGGCTTAGTGTTTGATCTATTTAAAATTTTATTTTTCTGAAATAGATAGCTAAATTATCCAGTGCAATCATCCTACACTGCTAATTGCAACACTCTTAGTTAGTGCTAGTAGTAAGTTAGGTTACAATTAATTATTTTCGCTATGACTGATTCAGTGTAACATCAGGTTTGGAGAGAAAGGGCTAATTGCCTGAGAATACGTGTGAGAAAGGATAGGATAAGCAGGCTTACCTTAAAAAATGTAGGCATCCCACTTCATTCACTACAGAACACAGAAGGACACAAACAAAAGAAAAATAAACACTGGATATTTCGAGGCCACTGGCCCCTTTCTCAACATGGAGAGTCACATTGGATATTAATTAAGAGTCTTTCACTGGTAAGGAAACAATGTTGCCAACACACTATGAATTTACAAATGAATATTTACAGGTTATGAGTCATTGATTTTATTTACACTTAGTCTAAGCCTGCTTTTTAGGTGTGGAAGGGGAAAGGAAAATGTTAGGCCTATCTGAGATTGAGGTTTTGGGGGCTCCCTGGATTTAGTGAACCATTGATAAGAGAGTTCCCATCTCCTTAGTTGTGATGGGTTACAGGTGGGAGGGAAAGATCTTATTATTTTTGAATTGAAACAACTGTTTAAATCTTGCATATTGTGGCTGGTAGCATGAATAGGCACTGGTTTTTCTGGATGGTTGTTTTTTATGTCTGTCCTATGATTGTTCATTCTTGTTCTAAAACTGGTGGTGGCAAGTCCAATGTATTGAGATGGGCAATGGTTGCATTGAAGTTGATATACAACATTTTTCGTGGAACATGTATTGTGTCCTTTAATTTTGAAGGTTTCTCCTGTTGATATGCTTGTAAATGTTGAGCTGGGCCTATTAATGTGGCAGGTTTTGCATCTTGCCATGTCACATGGGAATGAGCCTTCTATGGGTTTATCTTGGTCTTTGTTAGGTTTTGATTGTTTAGGGTGAACTAACAACTTTTTTAAATTGGCTGGTTGTCGGAATGTAGTTGTGGGAGGTTTTTCCAAGAAGTCTTTGGTGTGTGGGGATGCTCTGAGGATTTTGAAACCGTCTTTTAAAATTGTGTTTAAGGATTGGAGGCCGTGGTGGTAGGTCGTGATAAGCTGCAGGTTTTGTTGGGAGTTTCTTTTTTGAGTAGGCCTAACGTTGGTGGTTTCTGATTGAGCAAGACGGATCTGGTTTTCAACCAGATTGGCCGGATAACCTCTTTTAGTAAGGGAGTTTTTCATTCTGCTATTGAACTTTTCCAGTTCTATGTCAGAGGAACAAATTCTTTTGGCTCTCATGGCTTGGCTGTAAGGAATTGAACGTTTAGTGTTGGTAGGATGGCAGCTATTGAAGTGAAGGTATTGCAGGTGGTTGGTTGGCTTAATATGAATTCCAGTTTCGATGACACCATTTTGTAATTTTAAATTTACATCCAGGAAAGTGATTTCTGCGGTGGACGTGGTGTGGGTGAATTGGAGGGGACTGAAATTGGAGAGGTCATTCAGAAATTTAGTCAGATCCTCCTCTGAATTTGTCCAGATCATGAAGATATCGTCAATGAAACGAAACCAGCAGGTGGGTTG